AAGATCATTTCAGTCCGCCACAATGAACAAACGCTCTCGATAGACGCATTTATTGCACGATATATATATCACTCAAAGCGAAAAGGTCAAAATGAACGTCATTCGAATGCAAACAGGAACCGAAGAAGAAATAAAGCTGCTGCGAAGGAGGACAATGATGGCGAAGTTTTCCGCAAAAACGGCTCCTTGAACCATGCTCAGACATACGATCTCAACATTGTAGAGCATTAGTTGACAACTGTGTCATATTATATAACACTTTCCGTTGTACAGAACGACGAAATAGAAACCAACAATAAAGAGAACTTAAAATCTGCCTTGTACAAGGAAATCCTTGCATGTTATGAATACGAATTTAAAGAAAAGTCAAGGTCAGCCGTGGTCATAGAGAAGGGAGAATGGCAAGTCTCTGAAACAGATCGCCCACCTACTGACGGGCAACAAACGAATAATATCAGACAGGTCAGTTATAGGAGAGAACAACACGTGTACACAGTCCAGTCACAGGCTTCAGCGATACAGAGATACGATCGATGCCAAATGCATGAAAGGATCAAAAGAATCCGAAGACAGCCGTTGTGTGGGGAACTACAATTTGCTGCAGAGCCATTAGAGCAGACACTGGCTTTCATGTAATCTGAAATGAACATAACAGTAGACAAAGACATAATTTATGGCAATTTTCTCAAAGCCATCAGGACTGTGTTTGGAACATCAAGCCTAACAGGAAAGTTGACGAAAAGCCAACGCATTAGGCTCCAACAGGTCAGCGATTAGTTAGAAGGTTCAACTGAATGCAGAGACGGAAAGGAAAAACGTGTATATCACAATGTAGAATGACAGGGAAAAAGATGAAAATGAAAATTAAGACGGTGAAATGAGATTACGAAAAACAGAGGGCAAGAAGAGGAAGAAAAGCCTGAAAGCCACTTTACATTACCAGGAACCACCCCATTATCACCAGTAGTGCGGCTGATCACAATAATCCATTCATATTGATAGGGATTGCGAAAAGGGTGCAGCTAAAATTATTCATGCTGTTCATTCACTGCAAGAAAACGTAATCAAAACTTTGATGAAGAAAATAAAAATGCCAAATCCTAACCATGGATCAAAACTGCATACATCAGTTAAACACTGAAACAAAACAGTTGTGATATCCGCAATGAATTTAATCTTTAACTGAATCACGACGAGCTTCGACTAAATGAAGCTGACATAAGATCGACAAAAAACTGGCGGAAAGCTATCGGGCTCGATAAATCCAGAACAGCGAAACAAATTACCAATATTGCAACTTTGGAGTAAACTTCAGCTGGCTATAAGTGATCTCTGGCATCCTGTGGGAAAATGTGAAATAAAACGACAATAATCCAGGTTACACCTAATGCTAATTCCTACACCAGATAGTGAGCTATCAAGTGAATCACGAATAGATGCCATAATATCAGCTTCTCATACGGACTGTTTGGTGTCACACGCACATTCTGGGATATGACACTAGGAGCAGTACACTAATCTATTCATCTATTACATCTTATTCTCAGTTTCGTTCTCAATCCCGTATTCATGCTCCGACTGCCGAGCAATAAATTTTTTCGCACGTTATCCAGCAAATTTCGTCTAGGCGAAAATATTTCTAAACATCCGGAAGTGGCTCAAGTGTAATGTTTTTCTAGCCGATGATTTTTCCAGTGGAATATGTTGAAAACCTCGTTATTTTCAATTTCGAATTCGTATAGATTTTGTAAGGCTTCTTACTTTATTATTTCAACTTATTATTTCACTTATTATTTCAACTCGTGGCGGTGAAGTTCTACGGATTTCCTGGCACTTCAAAATATCTAGGAGAAATGACGTGTACACAAAATCGAAATCATCCTTAAAATCGAAGAATGAGAGACAGATGGAAAGCTAGCATCCACTGGTTGTCCAGTCGGTTGATATCACGTCAGTTTAACGCACTGTACTAAATCGCGCTTTTTGCTGAGATCTGAAGGAACCTAGCTTTCACTGAAGTCAGTCGTAAAGATTTAATTAATGACTAGCAACAGACTGATAAACAAGAAAGATGCAAACGCGGCGAAAAACCTGCTGCATCAAAGACAAGCGGTCCGCATCGATCACTGCGTACCTATAGGTCCGCCACCTGATGGAAAAACGCAGGAAGTGGGACGGGGAGTGATCATGCGCCCACGTTTGATCAAGGACAGAGGCGATCGTGTCCTTCCCAGCAAATCCTGATGCAGCCACTCCACTAGCCATGTAGAGAACGGTGTACGGCGTTTCTGATGTTCGGGCTTTCGCTTGAAGGGTTTTGTGTGGTCATTACTAAGTGCAGAGTCAGTAGCTCACTTTCGTCTCTTCCATGTTTAGCGTTACCAGCTGATCTAAATTCTTGGAATGAGCAATTCTGCACAGGCAGGGTTATCTGAGAGTGCATGAAGAATGGCCGCCGGCGATCGATTTGTCTAACCTAAAACATGGGTGCATGTCTTTTCCGCGACGAAGGGAATGAATACAGCTCTAGCAGTGCAGACACCACCGTCATGATGGAAATTTTTGACGCTGAAGAAGAGTTCCTGACAATCGGCGGGATAAAACAGTTTCAGAAAAGCTGTTTTCGGGATAAGGCTACTGACTGTCCAAAATCGGCTGACTTTTCCCCTGTTCTTCGACTTGTGAAGCAACAGCCTGGAAGAGGATCGACCTCGGCAACGGGTGGTTTTGATTTCCTATAAACAGGATGAAATCAAGCGCGCAAATTTTCATGTCAAAGTTTCTCTCCTGATTCCAAGTGTTACACGGCGATTTCACAGGCGCCCTTCCCAGTTGATCTGCTTTATTCTATTTCGTGATCATCTGATAACATGTATTTGCCGTTTTTGCAGTTCATATGCTAGGTTAGAGTCTTTTTCGTGATTGATGCGCTACAATTTTTGTCTGTGTCACCGACTTTTTGCCTGTACCTGATGATGACCCAGTTTTGTATTTTACTCGCAATACCTTCTCTTTTCAAGACTGCAAATCTTGGATTTAATCACTTTATACTTCGTTTGTTCAATAGCTTCCATTGGTAGTCTGCAAGTGAACCACCGCATGGGTTCGTTTATTCGCTTCCTTTGGCATATTGAAAAACTCCATCTATTCGATCTTCTACTTCTGATTAGTTGCTACCTTAATTACTTCACGAATTCTTTGGCTGTTTAGTTTGATTTTGGGTCGTCCTTGGGTAAATTCTTTGCGCCTTTTCAGTTGCTGCTTCGCGATATTCCAGTTCATTACATCAATATGGCGTATAATTTTTTATATACCCAGAATTTCCAGTAGATTAATTAAGTCGGTATATCGGAAGGTTCTTCTTTAAGCATCCATGTCGTGTAAGTGGCATATTCTTCTCTACAATTTCCTTCATTCCTAAGCTGAGATTAAGTATACCTTGAAAACGATATGCGATGGATTTCTGCATCGTTATTTGAGTAACGTGATATACTGCACTGTGTGCTTTCAGTTAATGAGGTTGAATCCTATTACATTCCTTAGCCATTTGGGCCCGTTTATTTTCTGCTAGATTTTTCTGGATAAACTAGTTTCAGTTGGTTCACAGGGTGTTTGTTTCTTTACCAAGGTTCGATTTTGAAGTAGTTAATGATAAACTGCCAAAAACTCACCCATGCATTGCGGTACCGGTGAAAGACTTTCATGGAATACAAAATATTGGGCTAATAAAGGAGTGACAATCAAGATATGATTACGTGATTTGGTTAATGCAAATCCATTCGCAAGAAGAACAGTCAGTCTGCAAGCCCAGAATGAATGATATATAAGAATAAAACACTGCATCAAAATCGTCGATAAAGGCATAGTAAAATCATTTTCGTTATTGTGGGTTCCTTCTCAACAAAGTACAACAAATTATAGCACAACATAACGCCTGATTTACGACATCTTTAGAATGGACTGGACCTTAACCACTAAAATTGTTTCTTATTAGCCAATAACATACTTATTGTCTATCATTTTTATCCATTACGTTTGAACGGATAAATGAAAAAGGCGTACGGC